ATTATTGTTGTTCCTTTTTAGTTGTAGGTACTTTATTGTTGATTTTAAAAAGTAATGCATCTGCTATGGTATCAACCTTTTACTTTAGTGGGTTCTATTTTTCTCCTTGTGTTTTCTTAACCCTTTGTAGATATGAAGAGGCTAAGGCAAAAGGCATCGATAACTATGACAGAGAGTTGGAAGATGCTATTAACAGGCTCATTGTTGAGTGTGATAGGAAGATTGGTAGAGCTCTCAAGCGCCTTGAGGATGAGGATGCCAAGGCTGCTATTGCTATATCAGTCACTGAAGTTACTCAGGTTTTGCGTAAGTTTTCGGTTCACTTTTTGTAATTTGATCTGGCTGACCTTTCTCCTACTTGGGACTTAATGATTTATTTTTTAGATTGATGCTACTGACACCAGAAGTACTAGAGCTTTCAAAGCAGATTAAGGGGAAATTTAAGGAAGCCAACCAATATGGTATCTCTTCTTTGCCCTAGATTGTGTCTTAATTGGGCTCTGTTTCTCAATTATAGCTGAAAACTTTTTCTTTTGAGATAATATTTATTTTTTTTTTTCTGCAAAGTCATATTAACATGGTAAGCATGTAGCTTCATTTTTTTTTTTTTTTTTTTTTATCATATTTGCTTTTTATGATTTTCTTTTTGTTGAAATCAATCAACTTTTGATGTTAATTTTTAGATTTATTTCACTTTCCAAGGTTATGCATAAAAGGGGACCAGCTGCTAGTATTTTCTGATAAGGTTTCTGCCCAACGCGGTGGGACTCTTGAATTTGAAAAAGATGCATTACTGTCCATTAGTCTGTCATGCCAATTGATTAAGAGTACTTTATGTGTATGGTTCAAAGGGCTGTCCAATTTTGCAATAATTGTTGTGAAGTTTTGTTTGTCTGGTTCAATAAGTTTCATAAATTCTAAGATTTTAATTATGTGGTATAGAGGGATATTAGGTTCCATAAACTATACAGAAGGATATTAGAAAAACTAAAGTTACCAAAATATCTCTAAATTATAAACGATGAATTAAACTTATAAATCATTGGACTGAAGACTTGCTCTTGATTGAAAAGCTTCTTGTTCCTTAAGTTAGCCTAAAATTAATCGTCTTTCTGATTGATATCAATATGAAAAAAGCTGGCAGTTGTACTAAAAAAAGGTTCCTTGCGATTAGGATTTTTATTATTTGAAAATCTATTTTATTTATTTGAAAATTGTCCTTAAATGTGTTTTATTGTACATTGTGGTATAAAGATTTTAGGGATATATGTACTTTATAGTGGTAATTGAAACGCTCTTTCTCTCTAAATGATTTTTAGGTGAGAAGGGGATGATCAATGAGGCATGAAAAGCTTTAGAAGAGGCAGAAGCACTAGAAAAGGTTTCAATTTCTGAACTTTATAGTGTTATATCTTTAGATGGATTTATATTATTAACTTATACTGTTCTTTTCCTTGATGGTTTGCATTATGACTTATTTGCAGATATTTGTTTTTCCATATCTGCTCAGCTCCTTGCCAGACAGGAGCCTGTTCTGGATTCCTCAAAATACATTGCTGCTGATGTTCGCATTGTGAGTCCTGTAGTTCTTTCTTACAATATCATAGAAAGGAAAAGTTGACCCATTTAAGAAGAAACTAGATATGAAAACTTAGATGTACTATGACCTTACAAGGAAAATGTGGAATTTAATTTGTGTAATTAATGCATGAACAGCCAGTCGCCTTCTGTAAGAGATTTCATGCAAATAAGGACACAACCTTTCCAAACTTTTCTAATTAAGGATATGACCTTTTTCCTTACTTGCAAAGGTCATATCCTTTAGAAACTTTGAAAGGTGATTGCCTTGATTAGTAAAGAAAAAAAGGTCATATCCTTAATTAGAAAAGTTTTGAAAGGTGTGCGAAATCTCCTTTGATTTTAGTCAAATTCATTTGTCCATTTATAGAGTAATATTTCACCTGCACTAATCATTTTGATCTAATGTTATTTCATACCGATCAAAAGCTATGGGTTTGTGACATTTGTGGAGCATTTTTGAGTGTTTATGACAGGTACCTTGTTTATCCTCTACTTCCTGGTCATAACCTTTTATCCTAGCTTTCTGAAGGCTTTGAACAGTTAGCTTTGGGGTTTCAAGTGCTTCAGCTTTTGACCCTGACTATTATACCTCTTGATTACCAGCAGGCTTTTGGGCCCAGTTTTACGAGGATAACTTTTGCAGCTACATAATGTGCGTCTTTTTCCGTTTTATGTGCATGTAGATCTTGCAATTGTTAGATAGTAAACATTTAGGAAACTGTACAGTGCAAGCTCCTGCAACTTTTTCTATTTTCTGGGTAAAAGTGTTTTGATTTTTCTTGTTCATTTCAGTGATCGACGTTTAGCAGATCATTTTTGAGGCAAACTGCATCTAGGCTATATGCAAATCTGTGATAAACTAGCAAAGCTGCAGGTAAGATTATTTATATGCTATGGTGGCTTTTCTTTACAAATAAATTACATTGGGGTAGGAAGTTCCTGCTGTCCAAGATTTTGGTTTTACAGAATGCCCGAACTTTTCTCCACATGCTATGCGCATTCAGCTTTTCTTTCCTTTTGCCCCCTTTTTTTTTAAATAAAATTAATCAGACCTTTATTTACTTCCTTTGCCTATTAGATTCTAGTATAACAGCAAATTAAATGCTTTTGTGCTTAGTAGGTATCTCTATTCTTCTATTGATCTTTTCCAGATGTCCTTAGGTTTGTATTGTGAATATGTTGGTTCAGGTGCTGGTGTAATGTTTCACATTCTTCTATAAAGATTCTCAGCTAGTATCATCTGTGAGTTTTTCTGACCTTGGAGAAGAATATTATGCCCCATTTTCTAATTTTTTTTTATTGCTTGTATATGCTGGACTTTAAAACATAGCATTTTCTACCTTGTCTGTGCATATTCAGTTTAAAATGCATTATGAAATGTTGTGGTTCTCAACCAATTTTGATAGCTCAGTTTTGTTTGCTGAAAGTAGGAAAGAAAGTCTAAAATATGAAATCAAATAAGACAGAAAAAGTAGAAGAAATGATTTTGTTTTGGGCATTTTAAGAATAGAGGGAAAAAGGGCTCTTAAAATCTGACGATAAACCTGATGGATGAAAGGCCTGGTTTGGTCAAGTTAAGCTGCCTATTGATTATGCCTACCATTTAATTCTGACCGAATAGTCTTGTGGTATGTTATATTTAGCTAAATTGAGGAGGCATTTATATTTTTAAAAGAAGCGTTAAGCAGCACTTCTTGTTAACTAACTTTTGTCAGGAAAAGAGAAACAAGAGCCGCAAACTTGACCCATATGATGAGAGGAGGTAATCCTCACTTTTTTTTCCCCACTTTTTCCTTTGGATAATCTGTAAACCATCAGATAGAGAGGGGGTTTTGTGATATCTTTTTTTTTTTCCTAGGTGAAAGAAAGAAGTAGAGATCATGAGAGAGAATCCAGTCATGACCAAGACCAAGCTGATAGTCATGACCGAGGGAGGGATTATGATTGAAGGAGCAGAGATTTTGACAGGTACAATGATGGAGAACGTGGTAGGGATTATGAGTGCTCCTGGACTTATGATTCTAGAAGTCACAACAGGTCATGTTCAAGGTCTAAGGAACGCTCCAGGGATTATGATCGTCACAGGTACTTTTTTTCTCTTTGTTTATGGTTTTTTAAAGTTCATTTTCACATGGACTCGTGTATGAGTCTCCTGCCATTATTGGTTCATTTTTGTAATTTTATATGTGCTTGTTTACATGTCAAATTGATGCATGTTTGGATCATATGTATGCTTCTTATCATATTCTTCACTCTAACTACCTGTAGGTAATTTCATTATTTCCAAAAAGATCTAACTACCTTAGGTAAGTTTTATCATAGTGGAAATGTGGAATGGAGGGTATAGGTTAGAAAAGTTTTGAATTGCTTGGTGGAATGATTTTCAAATAGGATTTTGTTAAAGGTAGGGCTGTAAGAAGCCATGCTTCTTTCAACAAGTTGAACTCAAGATAATAGTAACCCCAGTTTGTATTTGGTTTCTTTTAGTTAAGTGAGTTGGCTTAAACATTTTAGTGCTTGGCCTGAGAATTAGCCATTCCTTGCTTGTTTAACAATATATCATTAATTTTGTTTTCTGATGAATTTTTTAGCTTGTTGAATTTGTGTTAAGTTAATATGCTATTAGTTTTTGGGTGTAAACTGTGCCAAAGCTGACTTCATGATGAGGTTTTCACCATTGTTTTCAAATTTCATGCCGAACTCTAGCTAATATTTGAGTCCAAGAAGAAGCTGAGTGCAATATAAAAGCCAGGGACAATCAAATTTAATATATTCAAGGATTTGAGCATCCTCTATGGGCTAGATTCTGTCACGCAAGAAACTCTCACCTGAACCTCCACCTTTATTTTTTGATGTTCTAAGCTAAATAAGCTAATTATAATTGTTTCTACACTTAAAAAAGAGCCAAGACTAGTTCATTTTGAGGTTTTATGATTCTTTTAAATCAACTTTGAGAGAAGAAATGAGCTTGAGTTGGAGATTGAGCTCAACTTTTTATGTTCGTCGAGCTTGAGCATGGTATTAGGTGAGTATTCGATTGATTTACTCTTGATAAAACTTAAAAGTTAAAAGGGCTCCCTTGGGCAATTCTTAAATCGGTGATGAAAAAGGACCTTAACCAAATGTATTGGTGCAGATAAGCATGAGGATAAGAGTTCTATTAAAACAGTATTAAATGCTATGATTGGTTTCTAGTATTGTTTCATTAGTTTTGGAATATAGAAACATAGAAATGGCTGTAAATCCTGCATGGACACATAACGATTCAAGGCTTGTGGTTTGGCAAACACCGGTAGATTTGAATGCTGTTTCTGTTTTCACATTAAAAAATTCCTGTAAATCCTTTAATTTTATCACAAGTACCTTTAGTTTCATTTGAGCATGATGATCTGACGAGGGAATGTCATTCCTTAAGTCACCAATATTTTGTTTCATGATGCAACTCTCTCCATGTGTGTTTCTCGGCAAAAGATTTTAGTTCTTTATTGCTGGGATTTGAATGCTGACACTCCTTCGGTAACTAATATTTTGTTAGCCTATTTTCTTATTTTTCTTGCTTGAATTTATTAAAATTTTCAATGCCTATACTGATTATTCTTCAACTTTACTCTTCCTTTTAATTGGACGTGATCAGTATTAGATGATTGTTGCCAGGAAGCATATGAATATGAAACTTTTCTTGCTTAGGTAGGTAAACGCATATAGGAGTAGTATGAATTGTGTTTACCCAAATTAATGTTTTTCTCAGTAAGTTCGATAGTTCCTCCAGTGGACGTATCAACATGTTTAATTAAGAGGATATTTGTTACTTGTGAGTTGGCTTTGATATTATTAGGTATATATATTGCAATTCCAGTTGAAAATGACTAAAGTTATCTAAAATGACTAAATGAAAATTAATACAAGGCTGCGTGCATGGCAGTTTGAGGTTTGAATTGTTGTTTTTTGCTTCTAGAGCGTTATGGTAAGTTGTTAAGCAATTGAATGGATTTTAAAGAAATTGAATGGATCTTAGAATTTATTCCCTCCCGTCTAATTTCTCTTTTTAACCAAATAAAACCCCTTCACTCCCCAATTTCTCATATCTAAATAAAGTAAGATGTCTCATTTTCCTTTAGTCTGCTGGGTTTGAGAGAAACAGATGGAAGGCAAGGGGGAGGGGTTCTTATTTCCACTAATCAAATTAAGTTGCGGGCCAACAAAATAATTTGATATATTTTGATTGGTTATAATTATTTTCCCTCTCCTCTCCTTAAACCAAACTGTTAATTTATTTCATTTAGTCCAAACAAACTCTTCCTTTTTGTAAAAGACAAACAGGTGTGAACCTAAAATGAAAGGAAAATTCTGGAAATGGCTTGTAAGTTTTGTAACTGCATAGAGCTCTCCATAATTCATTCATTTTTCAGATTCTTAGACCAAGTATTGGTTGACAGATATATATACAACCAAATACATCAAGATTACATTGGAAAAGTGGAGTGTTTTATCTGATATAGCACTGAGATTGCTATGATAGATTTACTAGAAAAAGAAACTGAGAAGCACACTGACTCCGTTACATTTAAATCTAGTACTACAAAAGAATTAACAAGGATCAAGGAAAAAGTTCAGGTTCTTCAGCACTTTTTTAAGATGCCCATTTACAATTCGGTCCCATTCAGGTCTTATGCCCCGGAATATGCTATGAAGTAATGTGTATGTCATCTACGGCCCCTATAATCTCAGCATAATTGCCTGTCTTCAATATCTGAGTAAACTGTTGTTTGAACTGGCTGTAATGTTCCCTCTTCAGAGAAGCTCAAGGTCAAGGGAAACCACCTGGTACTCCACCTATGATATAATGTAAAGGATTTATCAAGCTCGAACAATACCCAAATGCAAACCTCCGATCGGATTCATCAAAAAAAAAAAAAAAAAAAAAGGGAAAAAGAAAAAACCTTGTAAGGAGCACTGACGCTAGTGATCTCATAATTTTCAATCAAATGGGGCAAATACCTAGATATTTGAAATTATAGGTTGCTTTGTGTGTAAAATGAAGAGTTGCTTAACAAAGGGATACGAGAAATTTATAAAACTAAAAGAACTTATGATATTTTGAATTAATGCGTGGCTTCACTTAAGAGTATATTTGATTTAAGAGAAATAGGACGGAGAGCAAAAAATTATAGGATGAAGGTTTCATTTAGTATGATTATAATATTTGATCTTTAGTTGTGATTTTCATAGTTCTTAAAACTATTGAAAATTAAAATTAAAATTTTGTTTAAAATAAATTTTAACACTAATGACTAAAAATATGAATTTCTTTAACAGTACTAAAACTATTTTTGTTTTTATTTCTTTAATAATCATAAAAACATGTTGCAAAAGCACAAAATTAAATGAGTTTTTTTGTTTAGAAATGTAAAATTTATAAACATCAAAACAAAAAACCAGTAACCACAAACATACTCAACAAAGGATAAATTAAGTTCTATTGTCTCTCTTCTTGAACGAAAACAAAACTAAAATACTATTTAAATGTAAATTAAAACACATCACATAATTGATTCACAAATCACATCTCTTTTTGAATGAAGTTACACAACAAATTAAAATGCTCTCTTTCATACAATAAAGCAAACAAAACAAGAAAAATGAAATGAAATGATCTCTAGTGGTTTCTAGAATTAATTACTTGATAATCATGTCACACACGAATTTAAGAAATTGAAGATTCTTTTGAGAGCTAAAGCAATGTGGGAACTTGGTGGCACAAAAATCTAGCTTCTTGTGAGTGTGCGATTAAAACCTACAAGGAAATAAGAAATCATCATTAATACATATAAAATGATTATAAGATGAAATAGAAAGTGCACCATCCATATGAATGGAAAGGTAAACAAGACAAGTGTAGACGATTGAAGTAAAAGCCCCCTCACTTAAGAATGCATTGCACCCATCTTCAGCACTATTAACATTATCCTCTTCAGAATAACTACTAATACTTTCCTCAAATCTAATTAGGCATTCTATACCCATAAAAACAACCTATATTAATTAATGGTGCAGAAAGCAAGAATAGGACTAACGCATGGATAACCAAGCTCCTTTTTTTTTTTTTTTTTAAAGAAGCATTAGAAATATTTAAGCAAAAAGAATAAGACTTAGGGTTTTCTCATTCATGCTATGTGAAAGATGTGATATGTTTGTATAGAAAGATTTCTAAAGATTATGCCTAAGATGTCAATTAGATATAAACACAAGACCAAATTCACAACGACAATGAATAATCTCATACATAGAGATAGAAACATCACCTAAAATTCCAATCTTGTTCATAGCCATTAATTACCATCTTCTTTAGTGTCACGATCATTGTTTTCTCCGTTGCCCTTTTTGGAATTACGAGCACTCTGTAACCATCACAATAACATGTTGAAAGGGCAAAGCACAAACTGCAGTAGAAAGGTGTATAACTGAAAGTGCTTCCTTGATTTGCATAGCAAATTCAAAGAAAAGAAGTTCATCAACTTACCATGACCTTGCACCCTGATCCATTAATCATATCTAGATATGTTTTGACCATTTTTAGAAGAAGTGGAAACTATTTAAATAAAATGAAAAACATAATTTAGGTGATACTTTAATTACTTCGCCCATGTTCTTAACTAATGTTTAAGGAAAAGGTTAACAAAAAGTTTAAAAAGGTGGAGAAAAAAAAGCATGAGGAAGTCTTTGGAATCATCACTACATACCTTTTCCTTGAACAACTGTTGTACAGTGCTGTTAAGGTTCCCCACCCAGCATCTTTCATCTTCAACAACTTTTATGCTGCCTTCATCTTTATTAAAAATATCATCTATTGTTTTCTCTATATCTTCATCTATATCTTTATCCATATATTCATATACATCTCCTGTCAATTTCACTTCATGCAGTCTTGGTGTGCTTAGTTCTCCCTTAGAGAAAATCTGCATATTTGGACACTCTGTAACAATTACCTCTCTCAAAGCTGGGAATTTAAAGTTGCAATCCCCTGAGCAGAAGCTTTCTAGTCTTGGTAGACCTTTAAGTTGCAAACAATTCAAATTGGTGAAAACAATGCCATCCTTCACAGCATCACCCGGACATACGACAATTTCTTCTATCATCTCACAATTGGCTACTTTCATTATTCGGAGCTGCCCCAAGCTTTTTGCTGTTGAGTGTCTCACTAAATTGACAAGTCCATGACACTCAGATACCACTAGAGTCCGCAAATTGTCGAAATATACAGTGGAGGGAACTAAATTCTTCAATCTGCTACATTCCTGCACTTTTAGAGCTTTTAGGTTTCTGAGAATGTCTACTTCAACTTGGGATTCTTCCCTCCAAAGATGTGTTAGCTCATGAAGTTTGGACAATCTTATTTTTCTTAATGGACTGCGTCCACATACAGGTTTTTCCTCACCAGTAACTTCTTCACATTGGAATATTTCATCGAAGAAAGCATCCTTTACAAGAAGCTTTTTGAGATTGGGCAGGGAGTGGAAGAAGGGTAGAAGAAAAGCCGATTGCTTAGGAAAGCCAAGGAGGTGCAGAACCTTTA